ACTGTCCTGGATGACTCTGCTGGGTGTGCTCCATCAGGGCCCTGTTAACTCTTTCTTGCGTCTGCTCCACCTGCCTTCGGCTCTGCACTGACTTCACATCTGAAACATAAATACAACATTGACACGTTCATCATAGACACACAAAATGTAAAAGCACTTATGATTAAAGTGTCCTGAGTCTGCATGCCTTGCACAAATCAAAGTTTATTGGCGTTTACAGTTCTAGGTTGATTGTAAGGTTACATCTTTTGCTTTTCCAATGAATTTTTTTTTTAAAGTTATCAGACTAGGAAAAGCTCACCCGGGTTGAATAGTACCAAGTACTTGAGGCAGATAAACTCGTGTCTGTCCAGCTGGAGTGCCTTCAGTTTGGACACCAGGTCCTGTGTCCTCGATACCAGGGCACTTAATGTTGCACCAGCCTGAGAGATGATGGTTAAAACGTCAATCTGCATCAGAATCATGAAAAAGGGGTGATCAAAGTGTGTGTGCCTCCTGATGGTCATGGTACAAAATGTGATATCCAAAGATAACTATAAGGAGAATCCCTCAACATGCACAGGTAGCATCACACTTTACCTGTTGTCCTGTGACTAAATATATGCAGCCTTCTTTGCCGTAGGTCACCTGTCTACAAAGGTGATCAAGAACCAGCAGCTCACTCCAACAGCTCTGTAGCAGCACCATCTGGTCTTCCACCTTTTTGGATCATTAAAAAATGGATCTGACATGTTTGAAAATAAAATTCCCTATGCTTTGATCTCATGTGAGCACCCAACACAGCAAAGAAGAAATGTTGATCTAATGACAGATTTCTACTCTTCTGACAGGGGTTATGGTTCATTAAAATGTTATTCATCACCTTGATCTCCTTGAAGAGTGAACTGTTCCTGGCCCACTCCACAAGTCCAAACAGAGTCTGGTCTGCCATTTTGCACATGATACTGAATGTGTTTAGGCAGTCGTGTTTGCCCCTGTTGGCCTGTTCTCTCTGCAGACTGGCGAGGACTTTGGCACACAGCTGGCTCTCATCCTGGTCTCCCTCCAGGAGCTGGCTTAGAAAGTTGGGTGTGATAGAGGCTGATGAGGGGATGTGATGGGTTAGGTTGGGGGTGTGGGAGAGAGGGGTAGTTGAGCTTGATGTTAAGCAGGGGGATGATGCTGGTGTGCTTCTTGTTGAGAATGAATTAAGCTGATTCACTGAAAAGTGTGCAGAGGCCAGGCTGTTGCTAAAAGGCATTTCTTGTTTCTCCGGAAGGTGCCCAGGGAAGCTGCGATGATACAGTCCAGGATAGGGCAGAGACGGAGGAGTGATCACCCTGTCTGTGTTCATAGAGCAGTCCATGGGCATACCAGACTGCTCCATGCCAGAGGGATAAATGTGGGACTGATGAAAAGCACCAGAAGTAAAAGGATCACTTCTGTGACTGCTCATTAGTTGAAGGTCATTTGGAGCTACTGGCCGGTGTATCTGGGTAGTTTCCACCTTTATCCTGTAGGGGGCAGTGTTTGCCTGATGAAACACGGTTTGCTGTTTTATGAGCCTCTCCCGCCGATACAGAGGGCCAAATTTATTCCTGCCACCTCGCATACGATCTGCCCTTACAGCTGTTGACCAAAGAAGAAACAAAGCTTTAACAGTAATAGCTCAGACATTGCCAGAAAGTATTTATTACACTTCCATTTTTAGTGCTTATATTAGCTCCACACACAAAAAACTGATCTGGGTCATTACAGCTATGGTTTATGACTTCATAGACGGGTCATATGTAAGAAAGAAACATGCAAGTCAAAGGAAAACAAGACATGTTGCAATGGAGAAAACTATCACAAAGGCATCAGTGTGTGTATCGATGTTTATGTCTAGAGGTGTTAACCGTACCTTCTCGCTTCATGCCCACTGCCAGGCACTTTTGAAAGCGACAGGAAGGACAGCGTTTTCTCTGCCAAAGGTTCATGGGGCATCTTTGTTGTTCCGCACAGGTATAATACTTGTTATTCTGCACTGAGCGTTTGAAGAAGCCCTGCACAGAGAGAGAGAGAGAGAGAGACAGAGAGAGAGAGAGACTGACTGACTGTGAACCTGTTGTGCGAATTACAAGACAGTACTAAATATAGAATATGCATCATTCTTGTTTGACAATAACAAAGGTGAGTTCTACAATCTGACATTCGGGGTTGCTACAAAAATTGCCCAAGAGAGAATGCACATGTTTTTATGAACTGTTCAAACTTTGCCCCTTACCTTGCAGCTTTCACAAGTGAGCAGCCCATAGTGGTATCCTGACACTTTGTCTCCACAGATGGGACAACTCTCCGCTGACTCTGGTCTGCTGTCTGACTCTGTCTTGTACTCCTCGGCTAAAGAATGACCAACAATTGATATGAAATGTTAAATGAAAAAAGTGAATACTCATGGAGACTGTTTTGCCGATGTGCCAAGCTACTGAAATCAAACAAAATCACTGCTAAATCTTCCTTCATGTTCCCCTTTCACTTCTCCATTTTCCTTTTTTAATTTGACTAAAATACAGAGTTACCAAATGTCATGGTCCTTCCCACTTAGCTGTATTTCCTTTTCTTGTAATAGTAAGAGTATGTGGCAGTATTGCAAATGTCCCCGATATCTAAAGACATCCACACAGAAGATAATAATGTGTCAAGAATGTAAACAGAAATCCGATCAGATTGGGTTCAAGTTTAGCAGAATACTCAGAGGTTGAATGACATGATGCAGACCTGTAAGTGTGTCATCCAGTACATTTTATTGCTCAGCTGTTGAGAGAATATAGAGCAGTGCAGGACTATCCCTTTTGTTTCAGACAGGACCTTATCATTCCTTGATTTGCTTGACTATGATCACAGATATGACACTTACATAATTCCAAGAGATCACTGGTTATGACTGCCACAGGAACTAGCCTTTGAAATCAATATCTGTAGCACGATAGTGAACCATTTCTTTGCATTTATGTCTCTAAATGTGGATTTGGATGGGTTTTTTTTTTGGATATATGTTTTCCAAAATATATTATAATAAAAAATCAGACAATAATACTTCAACTTTTCAATAAGACAAATCAAAAAAATTATAACTTTACAACAATGTACACATCAAACCAACATTTTTTGAAACCAGCCTCAAAGGGCAATATCTACAAATTGGGTACTCACATGTTGATGGTCCTCCCAGAGTTAGTGGATCTACTGGGTCACCAGAGTGGGGGCCAGGAGGCTGGGTCTGCTGTGGATGATAACCTGGTAGGTCCATTCTGGCTGATGGGGAAGGAGCTTCAGAGTCAGGCCAGCCTGATCTTCATTGTTGCAGAGATCAGAAGACCGGACAGACGGAGAGCCACACAAAGGCCGGCAGCAGGCCCCACAGTCCCGGTGGACTGATGGATGTTTGAGGCCCGCAAGTGGACTTCGATCAGTAGTGAGTGTCATAAAACCTCTCCTGACTGGCACTCCTACCCAGTCAGTCAGTCAGCAAGTCAGACAGCCAACCAGCACCTCCACGGGAGACAGTCTGATATCTACCTGCTGGAACTTCACGGTAGAGAAATGACTCCAGTATCACCGGGAAGCTCAACTGATAAGATAAGAGTCCACAGAAGAGTGCAGCTAATATCAGTCAAAACTACAGCCGTTCAGATTGCTTGTTAATTCATGCAATAGTGTCTGTTTTATTAACTGTAGCATCTGGATTGATGCATATGTGGAAAAAGAGCAAAGCAAATAGCCTACTGTGAGGAAAATTCTACAATGAGTAAAACAATAGCTACATCTGTACAAAAAAGAGAAAGACCTGGTGCTGTAATAAAACAGTGCATGATCATATATATGATAGGCCTTTATGATTTTATAAGATTGTTGATGCTGAAGTAAAATTTTAAAGTGTTAGCTGGTTGAAGTGAAGCTAGATAAACTACCCAACAGTCCATATAGCTAGTCCATTTCCCCCCTTTACAAATGGGACCCTGAACCTGAGTTAGGATTCACTTATTGCCCTTATTGCCAAGCAATTTGAATGTAACAATAAGAGATGTTTAAAGGGGAAGTCACTCTTTTGTATTTCCGATAACAACTGATAGGTATCTGAAACTTGATAGGGTCCCCAAATGCATGCGTCTTTTTAGTTATTCAAAGGTCAAAGGCCACAGCATTTGGTAGCCAGAGTTTATCTTTAGCAAAGAACTAGTTCCATATGCTAAACATTTATTCTTCATGTTAAAAGTTAACTTACAAAGTCATGTTGAACTTGGACTGCCAAATTAATGCGGTGGTGTAACAATCACAATAGTTTCCCTTGTAATGTAGTGAAGTGGAAGTACATAAAGTACCAGACAAATATGTCAAACCTGTCCATTACAGGGCTCAAGTAAATGTCCTTATTTATATTCAGTCTTACGTATCATAACATATATACATAAATAATTAATTAAGCATTCCAGTAAAGTTAAAAAAATACTTTGTATAGCAATAAACATAATTATATCAGTAAAGTTAGACACACTGACAATATTGTTGAAAACCAGCCAATGGGGGAACAAATATAAAGTGACTTTCAACAGGCTCCTTTGATGGGGCACATGGTGATGTTATGGGCAGTTCAAAAGGTGAATGATTATGTCATCTGTACATTCGTTTATTTATGAATCATAACATACATCAATATAAGTCTCCCTGCTATTTTCACTGGTCTATTAAGCTTCCAGTTTCTGACTGTGTCCCGAGTCTTTATGACATAAATCTTCATGAATGAAAACTATTACAAAGCTTAACAGATGTCATTGGCGTGCTCTGCAATGTGTGTATTTCTGGAAGTGATGAATAAATAGCGCCATCTGATGGCACTTTAGATGAACACTGTTAAACACTGCTAAATTGAAATGCAACATTTGTATTTTATAGATGGTTAATTCAATCTCAAACCACTTAGTTAAGACACATTGAGTTCAGTTCAAAAAATTAGATTAATTGAGACAAACAAAAAGAAATCAATGCAAAGGGGTAACATTTATTGATTATATAAGAAAAACCATCAGACAAGCCCGTCTAAACCCATAGTCAGAGATAGCACTTGGTGTATTCAGTTTATTCACATTAAGAAAAAACATTATAACTCTGTGATCTCACTGGAACTTTATGTTTATGACACTTACGATGAGACCTGAAGTAAGCTAGCTATGACATATCTTCTGATCCACTCACTACTGGAAACTGTCATCGCACGGGACTGAAAATATTCAATTGAAAAAAGAATACTCTTCCTCACTGCTGGAGGAGCATTCAGGATCACCCTCAGCGACGAGCCACACCTCATTGTGCCTGTTAAACAACTTCATTGGACTGCAAGAAACAAAGGCACACACGACACAAAGAACAGAATAAATCATCAACAGACACTAAAGTTATTTGCTCTTATTGATGTATTCATTTTTGTTGATGATTGTAAAAATGATTGTGACTTGTTTACCTGTCATAGCCAACAGCATAGTGATACTCTTTGTTGTACTGCGAACCAGCCGAGTCAAGTGAAGAGCAGAGACTACTGGCCTTCATTTTGTCAGACAAACTTGTCATCCATCCTCCGTAGCTCTTCACGTACACTTTCATCTCTGGCCATTCTTGGATGAACACCTGCAAGGCAGAAGCGTTTTGTAATCGGCCTGAGCTGAAGGTCAATGTCACAGTTTAATTCAACATGATTGTCAGAAGAGATTACTTTATCATCAGTAGGTTTAGGGGGAGTCATCTGATGTTCACTTGGCAGCAAGAAACTCATTCTGAAGACACGTTCTTCCCAGAAGCTTTTCTGATCGATCACTTTCACAACAACAGGAGCTGTCATTTCAATTTTTTTTCCTGAAAGAGAACATTAAGAAAATGCATCCCTTCACTTTTGGAAATGTCACAAAGCGATGAAACAAAAACAAACAACCAAAACTCTGACTTAATTATCCAACTAAACTGCCAAACCATTTCTGCTCTCTAGCCACAACTAATTACAGTCATTACTATGTAAGGTCAAGGGACTTTTTAGGGCTCAGTTTTCAGTGGTTTCTAAATGCTGTTTTTCTCTGTTTTTCTATTGTTGTTTTTGGACTATTACATCGTGTTTGATGCTACACCTTTTATTCTAGTATGTACATTTCTCTTAAACCCACCAGTTTCAATTCAAGATGAAAAAATACAAATAAGTAGTAAACGTACGCACCCTGCATGTTTTGACCAGTGATGTATCCAAACAGCCGTTTGAATGCTCTCATTAGTGCAAAGTCCATGATATAGCCCGTCTCGTTGGTGGAAACCCATTTCACTGAGCTGTAGTGCCGGAGCTGTGGGACATGAACAAACACAGTGACGTGGGCCTTATGAAAGTTTCTTCAACATGAGATATTAAAAGCTTTCTTGCATCCATGACATGCTCACCTCATATGAGTCAGTTTCACAAATCAGATCAAACAACAGGCATTCTTCTGTCTCAGAACAATATTTCCCCTGAGATGACTTTCTGTTTAATTCAAGGAAAACTATTAAAAACAGGTACAAGTGCAGTCATAGATAGGTAGTGATTAATAGTAATAATTATGTGCCAGGATCTGAGAAGAATTCATCATGATTCATATCTTCAATTGCTTTTTAATTCCACCTATCTAGTCACTTATTTCATCTTTTGCTTGTGTAGATGTGCTTCCTATTCTCTAATGCACACACTTCAATCTAAAAATGTTTTACTTTATAATGCTGGCCAAATGCAGAAATCTACATAAACAAAGAGTCAAAATTGAGGCTTCTTACCCAACTTTGGCCTCGGCTGTTAGCACCAGCAGAATGCCAGCAAGCCCTGAAAGAAAAATCCTGAGATACACATAAAAAGTGTTTTCAGTCAAAACTAAAACTTCACAAGCAAAAAATAAAACACACTTACACAAACTTTATGCCCTTGCAGATTTCTCTGTAAAGATTATTATCCAAGTCAATCAAGAAGTACTTACATGGCTTCAGATGATTGGGTTCTGTGCATTCCAAAATGCTATCTTCGCAGTCTGGTCAACAGCAAGTATTTATTCCAACTCTGGTTATAAAAGGCAAACTGGTCACGCCCTGAATCCATAACACAAGCCAGGAAACACAATGTTGTGGCCAATGAGGATCCAAAGCAGACACAAGAAACTGGAGAAGTGTTACTCAAACAGAGAGAGGCATTTCACTTGGCCTAAGGGCGCGGTCTCAAGGGCATTTACACATTTTGGTCATTTTATTTACCAACTAAATCTCTGCATGTATTTTGTGGAACTATGGTATCAACTTTCCAGTTTAACACAAAATGATTAAAACATTAATGCAGCAAACTAAACTAAAGAGTGATTGAAAGGTAGTGATTTATTCAATGTCTTTAGATTGTGAAGATGTAAGAAAAGAGCAAACTTCTTAAACTGTAACCTTTGTTTAGCTTTGCCACTGAAATGTTTCATCTGACATGATGATTATAAAAAAAAGGAAGTAGGATTTTAACTTTTGAGGAATAATCAATATGTATATAATTTAACATAATTATCTGATTAAACAACATCAGGTGGTACAAATGGTGAGAAGACTTTATGGTTAAACAGCTCACGTTGGTACTCCCACAACATGACTGAAACTAGTTCCCATGTCAGATTATTTACACCCATATTGTACATAATGTAAGACAGCAGCTCAACGCGGTCAGGGAGAACAAATGGGCAGTTCTGACAACATGGACTGAGTCTTTAAGAACTAGAGTCTCAAGAGAGTTGATGGTATTGTCTCTTTTGTTGGCCTAAGACCACATGATACCTGCTTTGTACTGGCAAAACAGCAAACCCCCTAGAGTCTCTCCCCTTTTCATAAAAATGCATTCAGCCATGAGACAAAAGGTCAAATCACACCCACATGTATGATAGATGATAGGTGGGTTAGGCTACACGCAAAACACTTTTTAACAAGTGAACAGGCTTTTATAATATTGCTATGTCAAAAGTGAGACACTGGATTCTGTTTTGGTGATGGTAAATGCATTATTTATAAATTAATCCAACGAATAAATCTGATAATGACCGAATAAAAATAGTATAATAACAATTTTGAATAAATAAAAAAATTACAGTAAACAACAGTAAACCGTGCAGATGAAACACTTCACAAATATTATTATTATATGAAATGAACGTGTTGAAAACAGTAGGCTACTCACGTGACCTATTCTGTTGTAAATCACCTAAGTAATCGCATTTACATTTTTAATTGATGAGGACAAAATGATTTATTATTCAAAAATAAATAAAACTGCCTTAACTCCGTCATCGCAATAAAGTTAATCAAAGGTTTTTTTTTGTTTTGTTTTTTTCAAATAAAGACATGGAAGGTCATACTGAAGCGCCTTGATTTATTCATTGTAATTTCATCGTCTTCTGCACATTTAAACGTAAACGGTATATACAATGCACTGGAAATTCATCTGTTCAGCCTCTAGAACTTTAGTCAGTAAACATTCAATAAGGGCACTGTAACTTGAGCAAAGCAGCATTTAAAGGATTTTCCTCTTGCATTGCCTAGTATCCTAGTATATGAAACCCTCCCCCACGGGCCACAGTCCAACTTTTACACAACCTTATTTTCACAAGTCTGAAAGCATTCATAATACAGGTTTTTAAGTTGACAGTTATGTCCACAAAAGAGCATGTTCTTGATGAAGTGGAAAAATGAAACAAACCTGTTATGCCTTAATATTTACAGTCTAAAGTTTATGCACGCAGTGTTTACTCTAAAGTTTAGAGTAACCAGTGCGTGCATAACCCTTAGGTAGGGCCTACCGATCTTAAATTCAAGTCTGATTGGAAGGGAAACGCAAATAAGCACAAGTAAAAAAAACAAAAAAAAAAGTAGCACGTTACTTCTGTGGGCACTTTGGTAGTTTACGCCATTAGCATTTCAGATACGCTGCAACACAATAACAGTCTGCCATGTGTGCCACTCTTAGTATTTATGCCAGTATCCTGACTATGAGGTGAAACAAAAGACTCAAATATTAATTTAGATGTCATAGAAACTATAGCTCCTTCTAGAAATTATATATTTGCTCGTTGAGCGTGCCAAAGTTACCGTTCTGTTTTTTTCATTGGTTTTATTCTTTACAGGACACTGATCAGCATTGCACTTATAATTATGTGTTTTTACTGCCCTCCAGTGGTAGTTGAGGGGAGATGCAACACGATTCATAAAAAACGTTATCTGGTTTGCATGACACTGGTTTTTCACTAATGTTTTCTTGTATTTAGAATGATGGGTTTTCACTTCCCCCCAGTGGTGAAAGTTGGGAACTGCAATACAAGATATAAAATTGTCGTCAGGTCGGCCCAATCTTACCATCCTTTTTATTTGACACATTTTAAAAGCTATTAGGCTGTCTAATTTAACAGTGTGTGTCAAATTCATACTACCATCTTGGCTACACATCATAATTTAATTTGAATGCATCTGTATTAATAATATATTTTGGCACCATTGTTGAAGTGCATATCAATAAACAACTGAATAACAATGTAAACATTATTTCCTACAGAATTATTAACAATTCCGAAATGCTACTACATTACACTGAAAATGAAATGGCTTTATATCAAGTTAGCCAAAACCTTGTCTCATTGGTCGAACAAAAATGTACTATGACTGTGAATTGTATTCTGAGTTGTATTATGGGTTTGTCTCTGCCTTGATGCCAGGAAGAGTTGAAGTTTTTTGCTGCCCTGCACACTAAAAACCTTACAACCATAGCATTTTATACACACATTTTAAAACACTTAAGTTAAGTCAGATGTTTTTAGTTTTGTTTCTTCTGTTAAGAAACTTTATTGAAATATTAAAATGTAAAAACAGTCAGAAATGCCAGTTAACAAAATGTCATAAGTACAAAGGGAATTGTCAAAAACATAAAATAATAATAATTTTACATCATTTCATTGACAGACTAAACTAAGAACTTTGTCCAAGTGAATATAATATAATATAATGCAATATAACATAACATAATATAATATAATATAATATAATATAATATAATATAATATAATACCATATCATATCATATCATATCACGTGTGAAATATACTCAAGCCAGATGTACAGTTATAACTCAAATGTGTGACGAATGTGTCCCATTCAGTTCCGGTTCATACTTTCAAGATAAAACAACTTTATAAAACAAATAATCTGTTTGTGAGCCAGATGAAGGTCTTAGAACTGATAATAGTAATTATTAATGACTATCAAAATTTGATTTGATCATAATTGCTTAAGGTTGTACTTTTTTAATATCTTCTGTACAAACGATAAAAATCACTCAAGGGACAAATCAAGGTGTCACATTGAGAAAGTGCAGCACTTTATAAAGTTAAAGGACAACACGCTATTAACATACACGAAATATAGCCTACTAAATGAATAGGCCTAACTTATGAATAGTTTATTGCGCAAAATGTTTAATGAGTTAAAAACTGATCAAAACAGACGTTAACAGTACTAAACCTCCGGCGATGCTTAGAGAAACTTATTAAAACATTTTATACACAGTCAAGATATTGTAAGAATGTAAGTGTGTTCTTCCCGTGGAGTCACAATAAAAGCCCATTATAACTTGTTCTTTAGTTTGAGAAAAAACATACACTTATTTTAATTATTGATGTTTGTAAATGCTACACGTTTTAAAATCTCTTTTAGTGGCATACACAGGCACGTAGGAGCACTTGCTGTAAAGGAGTGCAGCCCATAGCAGGATTTTATATACTTTAAACTTAGTCGCTTAAAGAACTACAACTCCCATACTAAATCTGCTTAGTGTCCTATTTAGGTAATCGTTGGGCTTATGTAGCAGCCTGTGTGTGTCGATGTGTCCCGATGCGTCCCTCCTCTCTGAGCATTGAGGTGAAGTCAATCGAACGGCTTTAGTGCTGCGCTTTTCCATATCTGTGTGAGGGAGGACGCACAGCTCGCTCTACAGGTTGGTGGATTTAGTTTGAAGTAGACTTACAGGCCTCTAAGTCTTCACTTTGATGTTGTGAACTGCAGGGATTGAGTGTCTGCAATACTCATAATGACCATTCCATCATCAGGGTTGTCTCTGCTGTCTGTGTTCAATTTGGTCCCTGCTTGCTCTTGACAGAAGGCTTTTATATATAGATATAAATATTGAAATAATGTATTTACATCTGATTCATACACACTATATTGTCTAGCGTTCAACAAGTTTTTAGCTTCTGTGGAATCAAATGATGGCATAAAGACTTAGCCAACTGACTGCTCTGAAATATTTGACTTAAAGCAGCCCCCTCCTCTCTCCCCTCCAGTCCATTCATTCATTTCTGCTATAAGACATGTTGCAGTGTGTATGAGCTTCATTGACAACGATCAAGTTTTTTTTAAAGGTCTCACAACCCCAAATATTTTTAGAGATAGAAAATAAATGCAAGCTCCCAAAATTCCAAAATCTTTATTTAAATTTCACAACTTCAAAAAGCTGAATTCAGATCCAAAAGTTGAAGAAGTCAGGTTAAAAATAAAAAAAACAGTTATCAGCATGTTCTATGATATCAAGGATGACAATACAACATGGTAATAATATGAAAGGGACTTTCTGTACATTTAATACATTTGATCTGGTAATAAGCTGTGTTATTAGAGCAGACATTTTAATGTTGGTCCCTCATTTGTATCTAGATTATAACCCTTTACTACCACTTGTGCTTTGCAAAATTCACAGAAAATTCACAGACGATTACTGTGAGGAGAATAAGTAGGTCTGAAGTCACAAAGTCAAAATAATAACATACTATATTACTTTCTTTGTATTGAATCTATCACTTTATAAGGAAAGAGATTTGATTTATGTCATTTGGGTTCAAATTAAAGTTACTTTTACCATCAATAGTGCTCACCCATACACTGTAATAAAGTCTATCATGCTATTTATTAACGTACATTACATCACTCACCTATTATAAGCATTGTGTACAAAATGTGAAATACCTCAACATATGAATCGTATGAGTAATCATTGCAATAATACCTGGTAGAGGTTCAAGTATGGGCCTCCATTGAACAAAGCATTCAGCTTGTTGTTGTTGTCAGCCGCTAAACATTCCAAGATACTTAAATCAGATTAGAGACAAAATAATCTTTGAACAAGTCCTGAACTGGCCTCAGCTGAGGATCACACGGTTCAGTCAGTCGCTTGATTGTGGAGTTTTGATTTCTCTGTCCAAATAAAAAACTAGTCATTGAATCGTGTCGCTGTTAGAAACATATGTGTCCACTTCAACACCAACAGGTTCAAAACAACAAAGACAAAATAAAAGATACTGAGAATACCTGCTGCTATGCCCCAGCATCCACTAATAACTTTTGGAATCGCACCAATAAATCATTGAAAAAACATTGTAGAAATACCCATTTTCTCCAATTACTACAGTGTCATTAGACCATAATCCAGTGCAATCCAATCATGAACTGATGTACATGTTACACTGCAAAAACATAGCTTCACTAAAACACTACACTTAAAGAAACAATGATTTGATTGTACATTTATTCTCTTTCTAATATTTATTGTCATTTTCTTTTAAACTCTCAGCATCTAACAGCATCTTAACGGATCTCTCAGAGTCCCCCTGAGTCTTGGGGTCAGAGGTCAAAGCACCATGGGAACCAGGAGGGTGCTAGTAACCGGCTGCTCCTCTGGCATTGGCTTGGCTGTAGCTGCACGGCTGGCCAAGGATGAGCTAAGACGATTTAAAGGTCAGCCACTGACTCTACTCAACCAAAACCAGAGTAGATGATAGAAGTCAGAGCTAATGGCAGATGTGGTGTGTTCATTGTTTTTTTTGTTTTTTCTGAGACAGTGGTTGCCACAATGAGGGACCTCAGTAAACGAGGACCCTTGGAAAAAGCGGCAGGTGACTCCCTAAACAAAACGCTGGAAATCAAACAGTTAGATGCCTGTTGTGAAGCCTCCATCAGAGAGTGTGTCGACAGCCTGCCGGACAGACGGGTGGATGTTCTTGGTCTGTCTCTTCTCGTTCATGTCCTAAACATTGATGTTCATTTCTCATCTCAGTCTTACAATAATCTGTGGTACTCTGACGTTACAGTGAACAATGCTGGTGTTGGCATGATTGGACCTCTGGAGTGCCAAAGTATCTCTGCCATGAAGGATCTCTTTGACACAAACTTCTTTGGCCTGGTACGGCTGGTGAAGGAGTTGCTGCCGGACATGAAGCGCAGGCAGAGCGGCCATATTGTGGTGATGAGCAGCGTTATGGGAATTCAGGGTGCGTTTGTTTGTGTCAGTGACATTACAAGAGCAGCAACTGAAAGACAGTTGTTAACAGGTTTTCCTTATTTGTACACACAGGGCTTCTGTTCAATGACATCTACTCTGCCTCCAAATTTGCTGTGGAAGGATTTTGTGAAAGTGTGGCAGTACAAGCGCTGAAGTTTAACATCAAGTAATTACATTCATTGACAAAAACATTTGCTGTAACTAGTCCAGCCACGCCCCACATCAAACACTTTAAATTCCTGGTTGCTGGGTAAGATTTGTTGACCATAATGGCTGTGTTCTGTCTCTCTGTATTTTTTTATTTTTATTTCTCTGCCACAAGGACAACTCTTGTGGAACCTGGCCCTGTGGTGACGGAGTTTGAGAGGAAAGTGTACGACGATGCCGAAATGATGGATCTATCAGGCACAGATGAGGAGACTGCAAAAATGTTCCGTGAAGTTTACCTGCCGTACTCTAAAAAGATCTTTGCCTCACTGGGCAAACACCTGAGGAAGTGGCTGAGGCAAGTAGTGAAAGTTATGTGTCTGTTTGATTTCAGAATCTTACAATTGTTAAACTTTTGTTCCGGGGGAAACACAAGGAAGCTTCTCCTTAACTGTTTTTGTTTTCTTCAACAGCAAACCCTTAAGGTGATAACAGCCAAGGAGCCTCCTTTGCGTCACCAGACTAACCGTCTCTACATGCCCCTGACCGCTCTGAAGCATGCAGACCCGACTGGTCGGCTGTCTCTGGACACCTTCTACAAGATGACCTTTAATCATGACAGAGTGTTCAATGTTTCCCTCGGGCTGCTGCGCATGCTGCAGAGGAGAGCAAAAAAGTGATGAGGATTTCACTGTCAAGTTTCACAGACAGTAAATGTTGTTTTTTAGGGAGATAGTGATTTAACTGTAGCTACAGCTATTGTCACACATTCTAGGTATAATGTTGGCACAGGCTGAAGGATGTGGTCTGCAAAATACAGGGAATCCAAAAATAGAGTTGATTCCTTATCGTATGTAAATATGCACATACTATTTATGAACTACCTTTGCAACCACCTTAACTTTTTGTTTTTACTTTCTTATGTATTGTACAGGTTGTAAAAGGCACTCTTCCATTTTCTGTTCTTATAAACTAACAGCAGTGAATGTTTAAACCCAGAACTTTCTGGAAACGAGAACAAGGCATTAACAGTATCAAAAAATATATTCATTATGGGACTGCATTTTTTTGGCCTCCAACAATTGGAATATTATTATTGCATTAGTAAAGTAAACAATAATAGTACCACACTGTGTGTGATTTAAAGTATTGACAGAAAGGCTCCCAGACATACATTTAATGTGACTATATAGGAATTGAGTGAACAACGCTAATGGGTTCTCTTTTATGAAATTTACTTTTTTTTGTAAATGAAACTATGATTATGAATTATGTTGAAACACTGAATGTAGGGATGTACTCAGACCCTTTCTTGCCCAATAAAATAAATATACAAGGCTCAATATTATGATATTAAATAATGTGCATTACACATACAGTACTTGTATAACTCAGAAGGCGTTAGCATAAATACATATATGTATTTATACAGTGTTATATTTGTGTTTATATATTTGTATTTAAAGCACAAGGCTTGCTCTGAGTATTGTGATATTGTGCTACAGTATTTTATTTAAACATATAAAGCCCCAGAAAAACCTTAATCTTCAAGATTGAAGCCATGACTCATTGTTATCCATATTAGGATACCTGCTAACAGTGGTATCATCATTTATTGAGTCTGTGTTTAAAGGCACATGAGCAGTATACTGCCTTCACGATTCTCTTGGCGCTCGTGCTGATTGGCTAATAGACTGTGGTTAGACACTGTTGGTAACATTTGAAAATAAGATCAGAGGTATAAATCAGTTCTTATTTACACAGAGGAGCATATGTTTGAGGTTTTAGTCTATCTCAACCTGTCTAATATTATAGACCATCATTGGATTCACATGGACACAATATTATGAACACCTAACAATCTAATGAAATAATCCAGAAGCTAATACAACTCATGTAGAGTGTACGACATGTTGTTGACTCATACAGACCAGAAGGTGTTTTTCCATTTCCTAACTTTTGAGGCTGAAAACTTTGTCTGCATGCAGAATGTCGACATCGGAGAATATGAAGAAGTCAAATACACTATTACCAAAAGCTCTTATTTCAAAAATCACTTTTTTATTATGAAACAAGAGTTACAAAACAGTGTTTGTTGTTGGGCTGCAGTTTAGGACAGAACAAGTAACAAAACAACAAACGTGTTGAATAATTCATTTTAAGTTAACTACCTTTTCAGCTTATTGAAATGGTTATGTTTATTAGGACCTGAATCAATGAGCATCTTTCTTTAAAAGATGGAAAATCATTGAACACAAGGACACAGAAATGTAGTTCCCTACAGTTTTTATTATCTGTAACTTATTTTACAAATGTTTTACTGTAGAAAGAAAAACTGTAGAAAGATGTATGTACACTGATTTTGAACTACTTTTAAACAAGTATAGAAATTATTATTGATAGAAAATGTCTATGACTGTTCTAAACACACATAAGACCAATCAAATATCAGTCACAGTCTCAGCTTCAAAGAATGCTAAATGAAGTACGTTTTATTTTTGTCCTTTTTAGTACATAACAATCATAATAGAAACATAAGACTTCTCAAGCAAAGAACTAACCAGAACAAACATATTTACAAACACAAGTTGGGAGTTTAAAATGTACAAAACACTTAGTGCGACCTGGAAGGGAAATTGAAAGCAACATTATATATAGAAATAACAACAAACAAAAAGGCAGTTTTTCTTGTAAAAAAATGTGAACTGGATTGTGAACAAGTTTCCCAGGTCTGACAAAACGAGCTAAATCTATGGTGAACAGGATCAAACAATAAATGACAAATGAAATCAGTCTTTGACACAACCATGGGCAGTGTTAGGTAACCACAAAGTAGTAAGTAGAAGTGATGCCCTGTTCGTGATGCCTCAAGATTAAAATGCAAAAATAACTTCTCCTCAAAATTCCACTATTTTCATTAAACGTTATGAAATGTCTTTAGATTGTTAAAGAGAGGATGACCTCCATCCTACATACTCAAGTGGTGGTGATGAAGAGTAGGAAGGTGTGAGTTGGATAACTAAGCGTCATCGCAGAAGTTTGTCAAAAGGTTGAAGGGTACCACACTACATGGTAGTGTTGTTTCCTTCATTCTCTTCAAACAATCATCTTAAGATGCAACTCTTTGGCTGCTGGACTGGAAGCTGCTGTCGATGCAGAGGAATCGGTCACACTGCATGCCATAAAACACCTCCCTGAGGAGTAACAGGGCAAAAGCAGTCACAGTCCGGCAGCTACGAACTCACCCCGACCACTACTCCACCAGAGACAACGTGAGCGTGTGAACAAAACCTAAACTGTCACAGATAATCCAAGACTTTTTTTCATTTAATCCAGAAAAGGACACGATGCAGACTCAAGATAGGAAACTTCTACCTGTGTGCATCTGCCTCTGCTTTGTGCACGGATGTTGTTGAAATGCACATCTTCACACAAGACAAAAATGGAGGAATGCAGTGAAGGGTGATATAAAATAGCAGCTGATAAGCATAGCTTAATACATCTGGATCGATGTTAAAAAAAAGGTATCCATGGTTTGCACAAATATACAGAGTATAAAACGAATAGAACAAAAACAAAAGTAAAAGGGCAGTGAAAGGCTGTTTTTTAGGCAAAATAATCATCTGCTCCAAACAGTTTCTTAAAGTGGTTAAGGTTCAAAACGGGCTGTGTCAGTGAGAGCACATCGGGTAACGGTCCAGTAGAGTCGATGAGAACATACAGTTGAAATGAGAGCATTACAGTGACAACTCTGCTGACATTTTGTGAAAGGCCATATGAAAAATGCTGCCAACATATAAATAATTCATCTTATTTAAACTACTTTTCACTCACACCTGCCCTTTGAGGCGGGTCAGTTGAAGTGCTTCAGAGACACTCATCTACATTCTTATGCATAATACTCATATGGAAAGTAATCTGTTACCACAATTCAATCAAATCAAAACATTTTACTACTGCTGAGCACTTCTTTATATAAATATTTGCCATATTCAGTTTATCATCCTTGACAGTTTTTGTTTGCCTTGATAAATATCAATCAGAGGAGGAATTCCACTTTCTGTTTGTTCACTTTTCTGAAGAATGAATTATATTGCTTTACAATCACTTAACATACGGGTTAAATAAAAACATGTTGGTGGTCCATATAAGACAGGAAGGGTTGGAATATTACGTAACAAGCTAGGACAGAAACAGGGTGAAAACATCTACAGAAGCAGGTAAAACAATAAATAAAAATAAATGTATTCCCTTCAACATTTAACATTTTTTTTAAATCTACTTTTTAAACGTTTGTTAGTTTTCAAGAGAGCATCCCAAAGTCTTTGAAATGAAAGACTTGGTTTTCTTCATATACTTTTTTTATAATAAAAAACAAGTCCATCTGTGACAGAATTACTTCATTAAATTGTCTGCTGTTTTCAGACAACACACATTTCCCTTTACTATTTTTCTCTGCAATAATCACTAGCAGACGGTCCTCGTGATAAACTTAGTCAATCCAAATCCAATGAAAATCTTGGAAACAGGCTGACATATAAACACAGAGAGGCCAAAGAGCCAGTCCGCAAATTATTTTACCCCAGGTCCCTTTTCAAGCAGGGCCCATGAGATCTTCATGCAAACACCTGCATCTTGCCATTGGCCTCTGGGATTTGAGTAATTTGGGTCTGGGCAGGACCAGCAACTGCTGGGCTTGGTGTGGAATCTGACCAATCAGAGACACAGTGAGGGGAAGGGCTGGACCAGGGCTCAGGGGACTCCGGGGATGGGGTCAAGTAGGGGTGCTCACTGGGCAAATGGAGGTAATGCTTAGGTGTGGCATCTAGTGCGGATGAGTAGCTGTGCTGGGAAGGAGGGGTTGGGTAATCCTCTGTTCCTGTCGTGCTACCACTAGGTTGAGGGGGGAGAGCCTGAGAGGACTGGGCTACAGATGTAGCTGCCTGTGTTGGCTGAGCAGGAGGCTGGGGCTGAGAGGGTTGCTGAGACATCTGCTGCTGTTGCTGGAAGAAGGATGGTGGGGGCTGGGAGGTCTGGGGAGTGGGTGGCGTGGAGGTGCCCATGCGGGCCATGGCCTGCTGGCTGGCCATGGAATGGTTTAGAAGCTGATGCTGCTGCTGTTGTTGTTTCTGCTGCTCAGCAATCGAGGGAAGCTTCACAGGGCTGATAGTGGGTGTGGAGGTAACAGGAGTGGGCTGTAACATGGCATTACGGAAGATCTGCTGCTGGTGCAGAAGCATGTTCTGTTGCTGCATGGCTGGGCTCTGTGGATGCATGCCTGCCTGGCTACTCTGCACAAGATTCACAACTTGACCACACTGAGAGGAAGTGGGCATCCGGCTGTGCCAATCAAAAGGCACACTGACAGGACTGACCATGCCCATGTTGAGCCCCATCTGGCCTGTACTCAGCACATAGCCATGGTTGACATCTGAAGCCATGGAGACACGACCCTGTAAGGACATTCCTCCGAGGTCATTAAGTTGTGCTAGAGACACAGCAAAGGGGCCCGCTCCCTCCAGCATGCTACTATGTACCATCGGGGTGTTTGGGACTGACATGGAGGAGTGAAAGAGACCTGGTGATGGCATCGCCACAGGGGAAGTTGGGTTTGTGATGTAGCCAGCGTTGCTAGCTCCCCCATGGGGTGAGTCCAGAGAGTCAACTGGGGACAACGTAACTGAGCTCTCCAGTAAGGCACTCTGCATGTCCAAGGTCAGCTTCTTATTGCGGGCCTTGACTGACTCCTTCAGACTGGCAGCATGTTGGCCCCCAAGGCTAGAACCCTTGGCCCCAGGCCGACGGTTCTTCTTGCCCTGTGGGGTGTTCTTCAAACTGGGTAGGAAGGCACTGGGAGGGCACATGAGTGGAGACAGAGTGTGTCCCCCAGTGAGGTGGTGTCCTCCATGGCCCTGGGGGCTCCTTACTGTGTTGTACTCATCAAGAAGCTGCACAATGTCGTGATGCATTCGCTCCTGAGCAATATCCCTTGGCAACCTGTCCATGTGGTCTGTGATCTCTCTGTTTGCAAAGTGAGCCAGCAGTACCCTCACTGCCTCACAGCTGCCCTCACGGGCTGCAAGGAACAGAGGGGTCTCCTCCTGCAAAACGAAGCAACAAACAAATAGAGAACGTGTTAGGGACCAATATAACTCCTTTTAATCTACACTGATACAAATATTTGGTTACAACAGTTCAAGTGGATGTCATACCTTGAGATCTTGCATATCTTTGTTTGCACCATTTTTCAGCAGGGCAACAGTGGCTTCCACATTGTTTACAGCAGCAGCCCAGTGCAAGGCAGATTTACCTAAAAAGGACAAAACAATGAGATTACAAATCT